TCAAGAAATCAGCTCTGAATATAGACATAAAGAAATTCTGTCAAAAGTTAGAGACCTAAAACTTAAATGCCTTCCTTTTCTCCCTTTGAATAGTAATTAAATACAAAAGCCTTGGGCAAGAAAATACTAAGGATACAAAATTTAAAAGCACATTAATACAACCTTAACTTCAGTATTTCCTCCAAGAAAGCTTTAGTAGTCACTGTCTGTAGGAGGAAAAAGTTAATATTACCCTGAGAGGTTTCATTTTTATCTAAACAGTTAAATGTTTTTTTCACTTCTCACAGAAGCAAGTTTCTGTATTCAATTACTAATTGGGGCTATTTTATAAAGAGCAATCACTTCTAAAATTTAAGATACTACACCTTTTGATATGCTCATAAACACAGGGACTCCCAATTATCTATATTTTATTTTATTTTAGTTCAAATCTGTGAGCAGAGCCAGAACTCAAGGCTCTGAGTTTTAAACTTTTGGGCTATTTTTACACAAAAATATTTTGGTGTACTCCTCTAGATTTGAGTAGTCATTTCCTTATGCATCCCTTTAAAATAGAAAAACAAAAATGATGTATACAAGCTAATGCATAAAGATATACATGTTTTTCACTCTGAAACAAGTTTGGGAGCTTTAGCTAGTAAGAATTGTTCAACCAGTTAGCAGAATCAATCAAAACCTTAACCGTGACATTTGTTACTCTGTGTGTTAATAAGAGTCTATAGAAGAACCCAGGAACTTAAATATTCACTAAAATCAACTACTATCACATCAATGGGGAAATGAAGAAAACCTTTGACAGGGGATACACATTTCACAGGATCTACAAAAGGAAAAATGATCTTTTTTTTGAATTATGAGAAACTGCCTAGGCAGCATTTTTTAAACAAAGCTTCAAAACTGTAACAAAGAGCTTTTTGGTAACCACAGCAGTATTTAAAAAAAAATTCATAAAATGTTCAGGGTGTACTTTTAACGCACTCATTTGCCAAATGATATGGAGAAAGGTAACATTTTAAAGATAGAAGCGTCTATCCGTGTATTAATTAACTATCTCAACAACTTAACATCTGCGTGGTTTCTGACAATTCACAAACAACTTTCACATGTATTATCTCATTTGAGCTCACTGAGAAAAAAGTACAGCATTATGCCTAGCAAACAGACAAAATTGAAAGCAGGTTCACCAAATTTTCTACACATTCCTAAGTTTTTAAAACTTTGATATCAAACTTTACAAGCCACCACAGTAGCATGATATTTCCAGCGATAAATCAATTCACCTAACACTAACAGAGTTTCAAAGGACCACGTGCTGTAAATACTATGACACTACTTCCATGTTTATGTAGTTATTGTTACATGTCACTAAAAGACTTATCTGCAACGACCTATGCCCACAGATAAAACTTTACAGTTCAAGAATCTCAGTCTTTGGAGGCCAACTCAAATACATCAACCACGTGTATTTATAAAGCTGAGTGCCTAAGAATTTATCTATTATGATCACTGTCCATAGTTTCGAGGAAAAAAAGAACACACAAGTCTACAATTTTTTCCATACAATACCTCCCTTTCCAAAATCACAAGTACCATATGTCCTATTTAGTTAATATTATAAGGATGATCACAAAACCAAAAGCCCCAAGTCATACCAACTACTTTTGCCTATAGCCATTGCACATCATTTTTTTAAAGGTGTTTAACACCCCACTCACCAACACAAGACTCACTCTTCAAAATAAAATAATTCTAACAGCACTCTATACCTAAGCGCAGCATCCTTAAGCTAGCCACAATAACAAATCTACTTTGTATATAATAGTGTAAGCAGGTAAAAGGCAGTCAAAGATTTCCATTTCAAATAACAATGTAATTTATTAATGGAATTTTTAAATGGACTTACTCAAAATCTTTTGGAACTTTAAGGTGTTAATCCTGTTGCTTAGTTGAAGCTAAGTAGAGCTGTAATACGTAGCAAGACCCTCAAAATTCAGAGATTTGCTTTATCTTGCTGTAGCACCTCCTGCTGGATAGCATTTAGAGCTCTTCAGGTAAGCAGAAGAAGAGTATTTCTGAGGCAGCTCCTTCCAGATGACTGAATGGGAAAAAGGATGGACCCTTCAAAGCTAAAAGAAATAGGGCCCCGTCCATCACTTATACCTCTTAAAAAACCAAATCTGGCATAGGTGGGAGTCTTTTTAATCTATTACAATTCCAGGTCTATAAAGACCTGAGTCCAAGGTGCAACATGCTTAAATAAAGCTTGCAAAATTACCTAAAAACTAAGTTAAAAAACCTTCAAAAGCACTCAAGCAAAAGACTAATATGGCCAGCCAAGCAATGCCACACATATTGCAAATACTATTACATTAATAAAAGCAAAGGTCTGACATAAAGAAAAGCACCTGGGATATTTTTAACACGTTAGCCAGAAGTTTGTGTTTTGAGAATTTTCTGCACTATTACTATGCTCTTCACCTAAGAATAGTTGTACATCTACAGAAGTTTCAAATACAGAAATTTTTTTAAATAAACATGAGTGTAACTGCATACAAAAATTCCTCCTTCCCATCAAAAGATATGTCCTGAGATTTTAAAATACATTCTTCAGACATTTTAAAGGGTCCCTAATAAGCTAGTTTTAAGCCCATGATGTAGATTCCACATACCAGTGGAGACAGAAAAAGAGAATGGGAAGGAACTTACCAAAATCAAAATGAATAACAGTATTTCCAGTAAAAATGTAGTAACAGTTTCCTACAATGCTGCGAAACCAAGTAAATTGTGAAACTTAAAAAAAGGGGAGGGGGCTGGTCTTCAAAAACCAAAAGAAAAGCTGACCTATTTATTTCCACTGCCCGAACATCAGGGAACATCAGATGTAAACAAACAACATAAACACTGAAAAGGACACTTAGATGTCTTAGCCCCAATTTAGGTCCCCTTACCAGGCCCTCAAAGAAGCTACAGATGTTGATGAGGATCCTCTCTAAAAAAGAGATTGCAGCTACCCGCCCTGAAGAACCCCTATAAAGTCTGCCTATGAAAAGGCTTCCTTCCTAGAGCGCACAACTGCTTTAAAAAAAAAAAAAAAAAAAAAAACTTTCATCAGCCCAAATTAATCTGATTCTAATATTCAGCTATCAATTATTAATATATAAATGTTCTTCCTTCTCTAACGTCCCCAGCTCAAGCAGCTACATTCCTGACACCTACTCTTAACGAAAAGGCACAGCTCGCTCCCCGGCTATGGGGCAAATCTTTGAAATCCAAAACACAGCCACAAAGTTCACTGTCAAGGCCAGCGCCGAGGCCCACACACGCCCGGACCTCAACTCCCCTCTGAAATTCTAGAAAGCCATCCTGGCAGGAGACATCATTAAAAAACAACACAATGTGGACGTGCCGAGTGAGATCCTCTACTTCCATACCTAAACAAAGAATATTTCAACATATGACCGGAATATGATGACACCGGATTCACCAATGAAAACAAAACCTGCCTGCCATGAGCAGTCGTACCCTCATCTCAACAACTCAACTACTTAGAAATCACTCTCGGCGCATCTGCACCCTACAACCGGCGTGTGGCCTTCTCCGGGGGTGCCAGCCACAGACAAAGTTGAAAGGAGACCTCCTTCCCCCGGTGCCCAATCCCGAGAGCAACCCCTCCCCTGCCAGGGCCACCTTGCTGCTACCCACCATCGCGAACGTGGTCAGGGGAAAAAAAGAAATCCTAACAGCACCGCTCAGCAGAATAAAGAGACCAAAGAGAGGATGACGAGAAGTGTTGGGAACTGCGTGCACGGCGGGGCTGGACCAAACGGAAAGAGTCCCACTCCGCGCGCCCCTCCCCCCGGCGGGGGCGCGGGCGGGGGAGGGGCGGCCGCGGCCCCTCTCGGAGCGGGGCGGGGCGGGGGCCTCGGGCAGGAGGACCCCC